AACATACTACTTCTCGATCATTCACTCGCAACTTCGAATACAGAGCCCTTTCTCAATAGCCCCCACTAAATCTAGGTTCATACGAAAGAAAGAACAAGCATTATACCGTCTGAAATTTTTTCTTTTTCGCCTTTCTGGGCAGTATCTTCTCCAGTGTCCCGGCTTACCGCATTCAAAACACCGGTCTTTTCTATCAGCCAACTTTAACGCCGCCACTTCCCGCTGCAATGCTTCAATTTTCTGCTCATATTCGTTTGGTTTTGGTTGGTCTATAGCGGCTACCGTTGTGCTCAGCAGCTGTCTGGTCACCTTCGCCAGCTCACTAATATCCATCGGCTGCGTTGCGTTAACCAGTTGTAATCGCTGAGAAATGTGGTCTGGGACACTCTCGATGAATTGGGAAGACAGTAACTGCGCTTCTGATTCTTCATCTAAAGTGGGAAGCGCGCGTCGAAGTAGATTAGTCAGTTTCACCGCCAACACTAGCGGGTCTCCATCAGGTCCAAGCTTCATTGACCGGAACTGCTGCATTGCTAGCTGTCTGTCTGTTTCGCTGTCAAACTCGGACACTAGTCGTTCAACCAATTTCTTCCAAGACGCTGTGCCATTTGACCTGTCTACGCTGTCATATGCAGCCTTCGCTCGGCCTCTCAACAGCGTCCCCAGGACAACTGCCTTCGCCGCCTGCTCCTTGACACCCACCAGCTCAGCAACGGCCTCGAAGTCACGTAAGAAGCTCCGTATGTCTCCTTCTTCAAACGCAGCTGGCCACGGGATCTTCATCTTTTTGGAGGCAGCGACACCAAATGTAACAACAGAAGACAAGGGCTGGCAACAGATCGTTTTATTACGAAAATCAACACGTATTTATATATATTTTATGTGCATTAATAAGGCTTATGCAAGCAGAAAAAGGCAGTCTTCTGATTGGTTGTTTCTCGGAAGTTAAGCAGACAAACACAGTCTTATGATTGGTTGTTTTCGATATTTCTCGGAAAGTAGAGCCATCTATCTGCGAATCATATTTGTCCACATTTAAGTTTGCTGTGATTGGTTGTTGAAACAGCCTTGTTCATATTTTCTCACGGCCCATATTAGTGACCTAGACATTAACGTAGATTAGTGTCAACCAATCGGCTAGCAGCCTGCTCTCACCACAGTAACAGTATTAACACACCTCATACTACAAACCACATATAATTAATCCCAGCACTACCCATTTTGGAGTCAACCAAAGCTACGACAGTCGAGTGGTGGGACGAGCTACGCAGAAGTTCACCGAAGATCAGGAACCTATACCTTACAATCAAGAAGCGAGCACAAAGAAATCAAATTGGTTTATACTAGTTCGTAAAAACGATATTGGATATTGGATTAGATGAAAGTTAGAATGCATTTACCAATCTAATGAGATTTTTTGGGGTATTTTCATGCAACTTCCCACTGCCAGTACGGTAATCCGCTCTAAATCTACCCTTAATTATTTTGTTGAATTCTTTCGCTGGAAATCTACCCACCTATCGCGTCAAGTCCGTAATGCGGGACGAGCTACGCAAAATTTCACCGAAGACCAGAAAGTGAACACAAAGAAATCAAATTGGTGTACACTAGTTCATAACGACGATATAGGATTTGACACCTTTCTACAGTAATGAACGTCATAACGTACTCTATGTGATATTGGTGTGTTTCCGTGGTGATTTACGACTAGAACTTCCAGTAAAATCGTGCAATTTAACTTTCAAAAGGTTTGAAAGAGCCGCAGATTCTCACATTTACAGCATGTTACTATACTGACTCAATGGTAGATCCTTATGAAATGGATAATATAAACAGTTTAGGCAAGCGTATTTTAATTTTAATGAGTCCACCACTTGAAATAATTATTTGTGAGAGAGAGTAGTAAAGGAGATCATTCACCAGGCGGTCTCAGACACTGTTCCTTTAGTCACACCAAAAGCTAGGAAGCAACGATCATGGCTTACAAGGGGGACACAACGCCTTCTGCAAGCGAAGCGAAAAGCCTGGTTTGCGTGGCGACGATCGAAGAGTCAACACGAACATGAAGTGTACCTTGAACTCAGGAATCGATGTAACATACGAGTCCGGAGCGATAGAAGGACATTTCAGGGAGACCTCGCCAATAAGCTTCTCGTGAACCCCAAAAGCCTATACAGGTTTATGTCCGAAAGAAAACCGACCAACCAGGGAGCATGCAATCTAGTGGGTTCTGATGGGAAATCTCTTACTAGTCTTGAAATGGCAGAGACATTCAGCCTAGCCTTTCACAGGCAACTAAACAGTAACGAGGATATTACCCCCACAGAACATCCAGATTACATCGCAAAACCAACACGCGAAAACCTCCTTGGCACATTTCAAATTACCCCGGCTATGGTACTTGCAAAATTGGGAAGGTTAGCTTCGGGAAAGTCTTCAGGTTGTGATGACATCAGACCATCTGTGCTGAAGCAGTGTTCAGAAAGTCTCTGCCAACCCCTAAGTGATCTGTTCCAACACTCCCGTGATGTAGGGAAACTTCCATGTGAATGGAAACGAGCAATCCTATTCCCTATCTTCAAGGGTGGTAACCGGCAGAATGCGACCAGTTACAGACCAGTTGCTCTACTTCCAGTGATATCGAAGATATTGGAAAGTATCATTGACGACATCGGCATCAGGGGTTCCTCAGGGTTCTATCCTAGGGCCGTTGATGTTTGTGATTTTTATCAACGACCTGCCCTCCCAACTAAACTGCTCTGCGCTTCTTCACGCTGGTGACGTAAAGATTTGGAGAGCAATAAACTCATCGGAAGACTCAGACAGATTGCAGGCTGACCTGGAAACTCTGGGAAACTGGGCTCTGGCTAACGGAATGCCTTTCAACCTGAAGAAGTGCAAAGTAGTGCAGCTTCATTCGGGCAGGTCACAGAGTGTAAATTACACCCTTGGTGGCCAGAACTTGAGTTGTGTTCCATCAGAGCGAGACCTAGGTCTTATTCTAACAGAAAAGCTAGACACCAGTGGAAATTACTCGAGGGACGTCGCCAAAGCCTACGCAACTTCACACTTTATGCATAGGCAGCTGGGAGCTCTCACTCCCGAACTGTTCTTAAGGTTATATAAGGCATATGTGAGGCCACACCTTGAGGTGCATAATATCATTGCACCTCCGCCACTCAAAAGGGATGCTAACATTCTAGAAAGTGTCCAGAGACGAGCGACAAAATGGGTGATCGGCCTCCGCAACAAATCATATGAGGAACGACTAAAGAAATTAGGTCTTTTCACACTTAGTTACCGTAGGCACAGGGGAGACCTCATCACCATCTACCAGATCCTAAATGACCAGGCCCACCCAAATAAAAGCATCCTGCCATTAAGTGACTATAGGCTTCCACGAGGTAACCCGCTAAGGATAGCACACCAGAGACCAAAGACTCGAGTGCGATCACATTTCTTTTCGCTTCGAGTTTGCCGTCTCTGGAACGCTTTACCGGCGGCCGTGACTACAGCGCCATCTCTGGAGATTTTTAAGCGGAAGCTAGACAATCATGCAGAAATGCAAGGTTTGTGTCTCAATGGCTTATCCTCATAAAACTTGAAACCACACTGTCAATGGATAAGCGTACAAACTAAATCCCCACGACCTATTCTGCCTTCTCTCACTCTATCTTTTCCTTAAGTCACCTTTATTATTCCGCTTATCTCAACCTATATTATCTACACTACAACCCATTATTTTTATTATTATTATTACTACTATTCTGCTTTTATGACTACACCGAATGACCAAGGGGAATTAGGTCAAACTCCATTCACGGCAGCAATACAGTCCTAACATACTGCATACTACAAACCACATCTCGACCAATCCCCGCACCACTCCTCCTGGAGTCTACCAGAGCTAGAGCAGTCGAGTGGCGGAACTTACTACGCAGAAGCTCACCGAAGATCTGGAACCTCTACGTCACAATCAAGAAGCGAGCTCAAAGAAATCACTGGTTTATACTAGCTCGTAATCAGGATATTGGATTGGATGTGGCGGATTCCATTAAAGAGTTGCGTTACATCTTTTTCTGTGAGTCTGTTACATCACATTGTAGAAGCCCTGTAAATGACGATTCGGAATATCTAGAAAGTGAGTTGGAAATTGTAGTGTGCACAAATACATTTTCAGTGTACGATTTCTACTATGTGAAGTTTCACCGTCAGTGCTATCATATATTACATGGCACTGCCAGTCACCAGTGGACTTTGAAGTCATCTTTAAGCATGCATGACGTATTAAGTGTTCATTATAAATATCTTTGTTGAAAATAAGTAAGTTAATCGAGTGACGTAACATAGTTGACTAGAAATTGGACGTGGGTCAAGTAAGCAACATTGTTAATGAGGGTAGAAATTACAAAAGGGTGGGGTAGAGAATAATATAAATGAAGATGTGAAATAATAAAATGATAATATAAAATGAAAAAGACAAAATAATACAATTAGTAAGACTGAAATTAAGAAAGATTACGTCCATTGTAGATTTAATGAATGAACGAATTTCTTTTGTATGCAGAGTTCAGGATTTAGCAGATGAATTGCCATTGCTTCTGCGATGTGGAGAAGTTTGATCCGTACACTTTTAGCAAGATTGCCTTGTATTCTGTAGATAACTTTGAAGTTTGTCTCTGGTTTGACTTGGTGTCCAGAGTCGATCAAATGTTCAAGGATCGAGCTGCGAGGGCATCGGTTTTCTCCTTTATAAAACCATGAAGGTAAATGTTCGTTGACGCGTTTGGATAGCGAACGCTGAGTACGGCCGATATACCTGGCTCCACAAGAGCAGGTGAATTGGTAGATGCACATAGATGAGGCCAACAGCGGTAGCTTATCCTTCACGTTTATACGAATCATTGGTCTCGTGGAGAACGTCAGTCGTAACTCAGCTGCAGGGAAGGTTTTCTTCAATGAGCGGGAGAGCCGATTTCTCAGTATTTCTGTTCCGTTCCCAAACATTCCAGAAAAGTATGTATTCAACCTCTCAAACATCACACTATCCACAACTCAACTAGAGGTGTTATCTCTTGGTCCGAAATTCTGCAAAAAACCACGAAGTGTTCACAAGCTTCAATGCCTGGTTCAATTTGAAAACCTGATTAATCAAACCTATGACTTGATACCAACGTCCGATGAGAACCTACAACAATTCAAATCAACTGTCCTCGACTGTTGCCACAAATTTATAAGTGGCAATCCAAACGGAAGATCCGTACTAACGAAGAAACACTACAAAGAGCTGAAAGAATTGATGAACAATGAAGAGATTATGCTGATACATCCTGATAAAAGTGGAGGAATCGTAATCATGAACCGTAAGGATTATATCAGTAAAATGTTGACCATTCTATCTGATGAATCTAAATTCACCAAACCGGCCAACGAGAAAAACTTGACGGAGCAGATTGAACAAAAACTAACAGACATCCTCCGTAAACTAAAGAACGAATCATTCATTACCAACGAAACGTTTGAATCCCTGAGACCATCTGGTTCAAATATACCAAGACTCTACGGACTTCCTAAAGTACACAAGATGGGCACTCCACTTCGACCGATCCTCGACATGACTAATTCACCTTACCACCGCACTGCCCAATGGCTAGCAGACTTACTTGAACCAATCAGAAAACAAGTCTCCCGTCACTCAGTGCGAGATTCATTTGAATTCGTCAACTGCGTCGAAAACGTCAATGTTTCTAATCAAACGATGATCTCACTAGATGTTGTCTCATTGTTTACAAATGTTCCACTAACTGAAACAATTTGTCACATATGCGAGCTCATCCACTCAGAAGGAGTAAACATCGGCATACCCACCGACTACCTAAAAGAACTTCTGCTGAGATGCACCCTAAACGTCCAGTTCTCCTTTAACAATGAAATATATCGTCAAAAGGACGGCATAGCTATGGGCTCACCACTAGGCCCTCTGCTTGCGGATTTCTTCATGTCGAAACTCGAAAACACTTGCCTAAAGAATATGATTGACAACATTGAACTCTACAAGAGATACGTCGACGACACCTTCATCATCTGCAACAACGAAGATAATTTAGAAGATATCCTGAAGTTCTTCAACAACTGCCACCCTGCGATTCAGTTCACACTATAGAAAGAGTCTAACTCAAAGATATCTTTTCTTGACGTTCAACTAACGAGACGCCAACAAGACGGTACATTAAAAAGATCCATCTACAGAAAGCCAACGTGGAACGGACAGCTCACTAAGTTCCACAGTTGGGTACCTCTATATACTAAACGAAACTTAATCCGTTCACTAAGCCACAGAATACGTAGAATTTGCAGCCTGGATGCCATAGAAGACGAAATGAACACTCTTAAGAAAATCCTCCTTGAAAATGGCTATCCAGAAAGATTTATCACAAAATCAATGAAACCCAGACCAGAGAAGCCGCCAACACCCAGTGCTCCAAAAAGACTCCTCTACATGAACCTACAGTTCAATGGAGACCAATCTACAGAAATACTGAGAAATCGGCTCTCCCGCTCATTGAAGAAAACCTTCCCTGCAGCTGAGTTACGACTGACGTTCTCCACGAGATCAATGATTCGTATAAACGTGAAGGATAAGCTACCGCTGTTGGCCTCATCTATGTGCATCTACCAATTCACCTGCTCTTGTGGAGCCAGGTATATCGGCCGTACTCAGCGTTCGCTATCCAAACGCGTCAACGAACATTTACCTTCATGGTTTTATAAAGGAGAAAACCGATGCCCTCGCAGCTCGATCCTTGAACATTTGATCGACTCTGGACACCAAGTCAAACCAGAGACAAACTTCAAAGTTATCTACAGAATACAAGGCAATCTTGCTAAAAGTGTACGGATCAAACTTCTCCACATCGCAGAAGCAATGGCAATTCATCTGCTAAATCCTGAACTCTGCATACAAAAGAAATTCGTTCATTCATTAAATCTACAATGGACGTAATCTTTCTTAATTTCAGTCTTACTAATTGTATTATTTTGTCTTTTTCATTTTATATTATCATTTTATTATTTCACATCTTCATTTATATTATTCTCTACCCCACCCTTTTGTAATTTCTACCCTCATTAACAATGTTGCTTACTTGACCCACGTCCAATTTCTAGTCAACTATGTTACGTCACTCGATTAACTTACTTATTTTCAACTGTATTATTCTCTAACCCCACCCTTATTTAATTTTAACCACCACTCATTAACACTGTTGCCAACCTGACCTACTCTGAAATATCTTTGTGGCAACTTTTAGCTTCAGTTAGAGCACGTAAAGTTAGGAATCAGGAACCTGAGTTTCCGATCATTGATTCAAAGGATTGCAACAAAACATACGTCAGGCCACACCTTGAGTTGCATAATATTATTGCACCCCCAATGCTTAGAAGAGACGCCAACCTATTGGAAAGAGTCCAACGACGGGCAACAAAAGGAGTGGTTGGTCTCCGAAATAAACCATATGATGAAAGGCTGAAGAAATTAGGCCTCTTCACACTTAGCTACCATCGGCTTAGGGGTGATTTGATTACTGCCTACAAAATAACAAATGACCAGAATCACCCAAACAAAGGTGTTCTGCCATTGAGTAGGTATAGGCTCCCTCGTGGTAATCCCAGGAGGATAGCTCACCAGAGGGCAAGGACCCGGGTGCGCTCCCACTTCTTTTCACTGCGGGTTTGCCGTCCCTGGAATTCCTTACCGGCAGATGTAGCCATGGCACCGTCTTTGAACGCCTTTAAGCGAAGGCTGGATAACCATGCAGCGACACAAGGACTGCATCCAAATGGCCTATCCCCTTAAAATCGCATACACCAGTCAGGGGTAGACAGTTAAACTTGTCGTGTTACTTCTTTACATTCTCTCCCGTCTTACTCTCCTGACAACTTTAACTGCATTTATTATTATTATTATTGCCGATTTATATATATATATATATATTATTCTGCAAATTCAATCAGCTGACTGTTGTTACGCGTTTCTGTTTCCTTTTCTGTCTGTTAGTCTGAATAACTTCAGTAATTATATCTATTATTAGCATTATTATTATTACTATCGTTTTTCTCTTGTCGACGATACCGGAGGACTAACAGGCGAAAGGATTAATTCCATTCATAGTAGTAACAGTATTAACACACCTCATACTACAAACCACATATAATTAATCCCACCACTACCCCCTTTGGAGTCAACCAAAGCTACGACAGTCGAGTGGTGGGACGAGCTACGCAGAAGTTCACCGAAGATCAGGAACCTATACCTTACAATCAAGAAGCGAGCACAAAGAAATCAAATTGGTTTATACTAGTTCGTAAAAACGATATTGGATATTGGATTAGATGAAAGTTAGAATGCATTTACCAATCTAATGAGATTTTTTGGGGTATTTTCATGCAACTTCCCACTGCCAGTACGGTAATCCGCTCTAAATCTACCCTTAATTATTTTGTTGAATTCTTTCGCTGGAAATCTACCCACCTATCGCGTCAAGTCCGTAATGCGGGACGAGCTACGCAAAATTTCACCGAAGACCAGAAAGCGAACACAAAGAAATCAAATTGGTGTACACTAGTTCATAACAACGATATAGGATTTGACACCTTTCTACAGTAATGAACGTCATAACGTACTCTATGTGATATTGGTGTGTTTCCGTGGTGATTTACGACTAGAACTTCCAGTAAAATCGTGCAATTTAACTTTCAAAAGGTTTGAAAGAGCCGCAGATTCTCACATTTACAGCATGTTACTATACTGACTCAATGGTAGATCCTTATGAAATGGGTAATATAAATAGTTTAGGCAAGCGTATTTTAATTTTAATGAGTCCACCACTTGAAATAATTTTTTTGTTTTTTTTCTAAACAAATTAGTTAGAAAAATTAAGAATCAGAAACCATGTGAGAACATTCTCGAATCACTCTAGTCATTGATATTTATGCTTGTCCGTGTAAAGTTTTTGAGCAGGGTCTAACCCAGATAGCATAAAGCTGGTGTGGTAATGTAACACTTGTACCTTTTATGGTTTGAATAATCTGATTCGTCAGTACACAAGGTTGTGTAGAGATTATATTGCGTAGTAATTTTGTTACATTTGAGTAGCTTACGTGAACCATTCTTATTAGTTGGTGGTAATTGGCGTTTGACATGTACCAAACTCCTTTCACACATTCTGTTCGTGTGTGCCCATCTTTTTGGGATATCATCCTAATCTTCTTTTGTATCATAATAATAGTCAGGGACACGCCGTTTTGGAGTCATTTTCCTCAAGCTTACATAAAAGTCTATTGAGTAACTCACCGTAGGTCACTATAAAGGTTTGTTGGAGGGTGATCTGTAGTGTGCATAAATAATTCGACCTTTAAACTGGTGTACACAAATTTGATAAATACCCGACTGTGACTTATGCGCATGGTAAGTGTATTGTAATACATGGTCTGCGTTTGTGTGGTAGTTACGTATACATTTGCTGGCCAGTGGTGGAATTGATTACGATTATTCCTGAATAGCTTCGGTGTTTTATACTAATATTTCTATCCTTAGGAATGGTATCAACACTTCAGCAGATATTTCATAGCTTTTTCAATTCTGTTAGGTTATTCCAAGTTTGATGTGCATTTCAGCTAACATATAAAGATATCTGCGTATGATTCCTCAAGAAAATCAGGTTCATGGTGTGCATCGCCTAAATTGTTAACGCTATTTTGTGTAGTGTCTAGTGATTTTCCCGTTATTTAAACTATATTTCTGTGTGATAGTATTAAGATTTATCATTCTTCGTGGGGGCGGATTGTATGTGTAGAACTATTTGCATAGGATTTTGTTAGTGTGGTATTGTCTTGATCTTTAATAATTAAAGCGAATAAGGCAGTTTATTAATTTCAAATTTAGTTTTAATTTCACTTTAGTCTGAATCTTCTTAACCTTTTTATTATTTTACAAAAGATATTCGGATAGAATTTTTTGATTATGACTTTTTCTGAATGTTTAGATGACCAGCACTTGGAGTAGTCTATGTCTTCCCCACATTTCGAAGCATTTAAGTGATGCGTTTAGAAAATCAGCTTCGTTTGTGATTTCCACCTCTGCCAGTTTGATTAATATTTACTACGTCTTATCTCCTGGAGAAATTCTTTCTACTCCTGTGGCTTCTGTTTATCAGCAAATGGTAGAACAAATGCAGGATGTAATCACACCGAACACGGCTTTATTGTATCCTCTTCCAAGAAAGCAGTTTTTGGCTGAGTCATGGGTTACATCTGGAAAGTTGTTGGTGATACTTGAATCTTCAATCCTTGGTGAGGGTATACTAAAATTAGATTTTCAGAAAGACTTCGAAATAGTAAGTGCGTTATATGGTTGTCAGCGATATTATTGTGTATATGCATGTGTATGTATATGTGTACTTCTCAGTATCCATGTTTGACTGAAATGTTAGGGCACAACTTTTCACAACGGTATATCGTTTGGAGTTGGTATGTTTTAGAGACATGTATAAAAGTAGTGGATTGAAATGCTAGTAAAAAACAACAGTTAAATTTAGGATAAGGAGGACTTCCAAAATCTGGAAGATAAAAAGGGAATGCATCTGCGCTAGTAGGAACGGCTTTGATCTATATTACCAACGTCTGATTCTTAACATCCCTAGGACCCCACTCAGATCGTCTAAATCCCTTTATTTAGCTTTAAACAAGTCAATAACTTAATGGGTTTGTACAAGTATTTTTATTTTCCCATCCTGAACCTGTTTCCAGCCTTATCCGATTTCAAACAAGCAACAATTGTGAGAGGATTATTTAACAAACCCGTGAATTTCGGTGGGATTCATCAAACGAATAATTTTGGAAGCATGATTATTTCTAATAGTCCATTTGTTTAGCGTATATAATAGCAACAATTTAGCAATTTAGTATCAGGCTCGACAGATTAATGATCGATAAAAAGGCAAGTGATGATTTGATGTAATTAAAGAGTGAGTAATATGCTTTAAAGTACGAAGTGGAGTTACCGTAGTAGGAACGATACAAATTCTGAACAATTAAACTTGAAAACACTGGAAAATTTGTAATAAACTTAACATGTGTAAACCATATGGGACTAAATAACTATCTTTTGATGTGTTTGAGCTAACTTCCAGCAATAGTTTGAACGCTGCTCACCAAGATAAATACTCATGATTTTCGATTAAAAAAGAATTGGACAGTTTTGCAGATAGTAATAATCACAATAGAATAAGTAACCAATGTGAAGAAAAGAAGGGAGGAAAATTATAAAGGTGATAAATGCCACCAAGGCAAATTTAGACTGACTAATGTCTCCCTTTGTACACAATAGTCTGACTTTTCCACCCTGATGGTACAAGCTCCAGGGAACCCAGGTGTTATATTATTGCCTAGCTTATTAGTGATTGTTAAGCTTTCTTCACCACAATAATATGGTCACAGTTCAACAAATGACCTGATTGAGCTCGTTGGGATGCCATCGTGAGCCATTTGGCGCGGTGTTCTTTAAAACATTTCCAGAGTTCTCAGATGAGTTCTACCGAAATTTACTAATTCATTAAATACTGCTTTTTCAGAATTACTTCCTGTCTTAAATTTACTTCGAGGAAGAAGTTCTATTTTACACTGCTTGTTGGGGAAGGCGGCAGTTTGGCTTGCATAACACATATCAATCGATAAAGCTGCACAACCTCCTTACTTAACACTGTTTGTGACCTAAATTGTAAGTGGTCATATTGCACCGCGTAACACAAAACTCTTAACGGAGGTATATGCGGTCAAAATCTCTTAATATGTTTATATCTCTTATCTCTAGAGGCCTTGTTTCATAACCACAAGGTAGGACGGAGCAAACTGCTGCACAGTATGTTGTGAACTTTTCTTATAATACGTATCTAGTCATATTCATATCTCTACCGCTATTAACACTCTTTTTTTCCTTTATATGTTTAAGCCATTCCGGCTTCATTGTAAAATGAATAAAGCCTAAATTCTTGGTTCATTCGTCTTTTCAAGATTCAAGCATCACTCATCGTTCTAAGACTCAATCACCTTCGTAACAATTTATTCATTTTACAATATTCATGGAACGATTTTTCCGACCTGATCGGTTCGACGTAGAACCTAACGCAGTTGGAGCTGCCAAGAAGTGGGATCACTGGTTTGCGACTTTTTCCTACTTCATTGAATCAATGGGATCCGAAAATCCTTCGAAACTACATATTCTCTTCAATCATATTTCTACTTCTGTATACGAATGCATTTCTGAATGCAAAACATACGAAGAAGCTATCGACACTCTCAAGAGTCTCTACATGCAGCCTTGCAACGAAGTGTTTGCTCGACACTTGTTAGCAACGTGTAAACAAGAATCTGGCGAAAATCTGGATCAGTTTGTTCGTCGACTCAAGTCGCTGACTACAGATTGTTCATTCAGGGCAGTTACAGCCGAAGAACATCGTAACGAATCTCTACGTGATTCATTCATCTCAGGTATACAGTCTTCGATGATACGCCAGAGGCTATTAGAACAGCGTACTTTAACTTTTCAAGCGGCATACGATCAAGCACGAGCTCTAGAGATGGCACATCAACAATCGCAGTCATACAACAATCCTGTTACACCTTGCGCGTCCATTTCTTTACATGATGTACCTCATTCATCAGATTCCACACCCTCCGTCAATGAAACAACCATTGCTGCCGTTGAATCCAAATGCTTTTTCTGTGGTAATCGTAGACATCCTCGTTCCAAATGCCCCGCCCGTGATGCAGTTTGCAAAGCTTGTGGCAAGCAAGGACATTTTCAGAAGGTTTGCAGGTCTGCGCCATCTACGAAAAAAGGTCCATCTTCAGTTAACTCTATAATTTCATCTCTCGTTGTGGCTTCAGCACCTCAAAGTCTCACTGATGCTGTTACGCAGCTTACTGTCAATGGGAAATCAATGCAAGCTCTAGTGGATACCGGAAGCAGTGAGAGCTACATCTCTTCCTCAGTTGTTCGTAAGTATAACTGGAAAGTCCATAAGTCTCGAAACAGAATCACAATGGCGAGTACGAATCTTACTAGTCATACTGAAGGACATTGTCTTCTATCCATCTGCTATAAAAACCACACTTATGATCTATTCAAATTTTCCATTCTTCATAATTTATGTGCAGACGTCCTTCTTGGACATGATTTTTTAAAACTTCACAAACACATTGAGATTCCTTTTGGGGGATCAAAGCCGCCTTTTTCTCTCTGTGGTCTACCTTGTGTTCGCGTCGACCTGCCTACTCTGTTTGAAAATCTTTCAAAAGACTGTAAACCGATCGCGATAAAATCCCGGCGTTATTCTCGTGAAGATGAAAGTTTTATTTCCACCGAAGTCAACCGGTTACTGCAAGAAGGTGTTATTGAACCTTCTAATTCTCCTTGGCGAGCTCAAGTTCTTGTTACGTCAAACGAACGCCATAAAAAGAGGATGGTAGTTGATTATAGTCAGACAATCAATCGATTCACTTTTCTGGATGCTTACCCATTACCTAGGATTGACGAAATGATAGAAAAAATCGCACAATATGACATATTCAGCACTCTTGATCTGAAGAATGCTTATCATCAAATTGCCCTAAGGAACGAAGATAAACCATATACTGCTTTCGAGGCTTGTGGGAAACTTTACCAATTTTGCCGAATTCCTTTTGGTGTTACCAATGGCGTAGCTTGTTTTCAACGCATTATCGATGAATTGATCAGTAAAGAACAACTCACAAGCACGTTTGCCTACATTGACAATGTCACTATCTGCGGCAAAACTCAGGAGGAACACGACAAAAATCTAAACAAGTTTATGGTAGCAGCACGCAATTATGGAATAACCCTTAATGATTCCAAAAGTGTGATCTCAAGCAGAAGCATACAATTACTCGGTTATGAAGTTTCAAAGGGGTTATTAAACCAGATCCCGATCGGCTAAAACCTCTTCGTGATCTAGAACCACCCACAGATATCAAATCTCAACAACGGGCCGTTGGATTATTTGCTTATTATTCACAGTGGATCCCTCGCTTCTCAGATAAAATCCACCCATTGGTAAATAATCGGATTTTCCCTCTTGATATCGAAACTCGAAATGCTTTTGACAAACTGAAAGACGACTTAGAACGTGCAGTCGTTGTGGTAGTTGATCCGAAAGCACCCCTTGTTGTTGAAACAGATGCTTCAGATGTCTCAATTGCAGCTACATTAAACCAGAATGGTAAACCTGTCGCCTTCTTTTCTCGAAGCCTCTCTCGAAGTGAGAAACATCATTCATCGGTTGAGAAAGAAGCCTATGCCGTGGTTGAAGCAATTCGTAAGTGGAAGCATTACCTTCTCGGAAATCACTTCAAACTTGTCACTGATCAACGTTCAGTAGCATTCATGTTTGACAAGATTCATAAAGGCAAAATCAAGAACGATAAAATAATGCGTTGGAGAATTGAGCTATCCCCTTATCAATATGACATCATTTATCGTCCTGGAAGGGATAATCAAGCTGCTGATACATTTTCCCGTAGTTTCTGCGGTTCCTTGCAGTCAGTGTGCGACTTGAAATTTCTCCATGACTCTATGTGCCATCCTGGAGTTGTCCGAATGATGCATTTTGTACGCTCGAGAAACCTTCCATTCTCCCTTGACGAGGTGCGCAATGTAACCAGTAAATGCGTGACATGCTGTGAGTTAAAGCCTCAATTTTACAATCCCTCTAATTTCAAACTCATAAAAGCAACCCAACCTTTTGAAAGGTTAAGCATCGACTTTAAAGGACCTCTACCGTCAGCTAGCCGCAATCACTATCTGCTCACGCTGATCGATGAATATTCTCGATTCCCCTTTGCATTCGCCTGCCCCGACATGTCGTCTCAAACGGTAATGAATTGCCTTTGCCAACTGTTTTCGATTTTCGGTATGCCTTCTTACATACATACCGACAGAGGCGCTGCTTTCATGTCTACCGAATTACGGGCATTTCTTCTGGAGAAAGGCGTAGCAACCAGTCGTACTACCTCATACAATCCTCAAGCCAATGGGCAGGTCGAGCGCCTCAATGGAACACTTTGGCGTGCCATCACTCTAGCATTAAGATCACGGGGCCTACCAACGGCACAATGGGAGTCTGTTCTACTCGACGCCTTGCATTCCATCAGATCTTTGCTCTGTACTGCAACGAACGCCACGCCACACGAACGACTGTTTACCTATAACCGAAGATCGACATCTGGGACAACTCTTCCTACTTGGCTCACTGTACCAGGACCAGTACTTCTCCGGCGGAGTGTTCGTCAGTCCAAATTCGATCCCCTGGTTGAAGAGGTGGAGCTATTGAATTGTAACCCGCAATTCGCTCACGTTCGCTTCGGTAATGGACGTGAAGATACAGTTGCTCTTCATCATCTGGCACCCAAAGGCGAAGATATAGATCAAGTTGAAAATTCAATACCGGAGGGCGACGCAATTCCTGAGCAACAAGTAAATGGGGATGCGACCACTGATCCTAATATTCTTCGTGAAGAAAATACAACTGAAACGAACAACGGGCGTATTCTTTTGGAAAAACAACAACGTGTACGGCCTTACAATTTGCGTACCAGAGAAGCGTGACATAATGGCTCATTCCTTTTCAAGCCGCAGTGAATGTTGTGAACTTTTCTTATAATACGTATCTAGTCATATTCATATCTCTACCGCTATTAACACTCTTTTTTTCCTTTATATGTTTAAGCCATTCCGGCTTCATTGTAAAATGAATAAAGCCTAAATTCTTGGTTCATTCGTCTTTTCAAGATTCAAGCATCACTCATCGTTCTAAGACTCAATCACCTTCGTAACACAGTACAAACCTTTGATGAATATCCTGATATCACACCTGCGTGAAAGGTAAGAGATTTTGATCAACTTCAAAAGAGCATTTTGTTTGCGTGCTGAAATTTCGGCAGCAGTTAATTTACTAGTACTCATACAACTTCATAGATGACTGAAGAGGTCACCACACCTTACCGCTTCCCTCCCTGTCTTTAAACTAAAGTCTACAAATTCCCTCCTGACGCATCACCGTACATTTGACGGTGGTAAACCACGTGCTTAACACACTTATCTTTTTGCTTTGGATTCAAAGGACTATGTTTTGTCATCAAAATAAAGCGTGGCACCAGTCCAATAACTCTTTGATAGTTAGTTTGACCCATTTAGGGAAGTGTAGACTGTCTGTTTGTGGTTCTCGAAGTGCTAAGAACCAATGGTTGGAAAATATTGGTGATATGGCTCAAAATTGTTCTCAATGGCTCGGATGCATTCACTCTTTGTGATCTCCCATATCGATTAAATCGTCATGTTTTTCCATGTTACTATTCTTCGTCTCTCACATTTGTGCTTATTAAAATACTTTTGAATCCATTTGTTCTCTTTTGATTACTTTTGTATGTTACGTGTGGTGTTGTACTTCTGTGCTAAGTTCCACGTTGAGATTCGGTCAGTAAGAGTTGAGTACTTTGACATTCTCTTCATGGTAATAGGACCTCCCAGTCGATGGAGTCAAATGCCGCCTTCATGTCAAAAACCACGACCGGTGTTTGACGTTGGTGAGTTTGCCTATGTCCCAAAATCTGTGGAAAAGTGATGATCAATACACCTGGTCTAAAGCCTGTCTGATTTTCTGGGGTCTCTCTTACCCTAATGTTACCTAGTGTTCACAAAACTATGGAACCTAGACCCTTAGATGCTATGTTAATCCAGCTGTTATCGGTTTGACCGTCAAAGATTTCACCCTTCTTAAAATGGAATGATCAACAGTCTACACCAGTCCTATGGAATATCTTGAAATTTTGCACGCTAGCCGCTACCGTAGTAAATGAAGTCGTGAAGCTACAAAGACTGAGATGGTTAGGACATGTGTTACGTATGCCAAGCCATCGCCTCCCTCGACGAGCTATGTTAGCGGATATAGGGTCAGGCTGGAAAAAAGCTAGCGGCGGTCAAATAAAAACTTGGCATCAGTCAATGAAATCCACAACAGTTGGTCTAAGCCACGTAGAAAGGTGTAGACTTCCAGGCTGGGGTCCTCGGGACGGTAAAAATCTATGGTTGGAAACAATTGGTGACATGGCTCAAAACCGTTCTCAGTGGCGCAGATGCATCCACTCCCTGTGACTTATGATCTTCAATGAAACTGTTTTGTATTTCTTTATTACTCCTTTGTCTCACACCTTTGCTCACTGTTTCTATTATGCTTTTCTTGTACTTTCTTCTCTTGCTTCGCGTGCTACACGGAATGTGGCGACTTGAACTTCCGCACATTTGTGCAAAGTTCTATGTCGAAAACAGACAGACAGACAGATAGACTAACACCGTTAAACTATCCTTGAATTCTAAAAAAACGTAGATTATTTTTTCTTTTTTATTATATATTAATTACCCGATGTCTAAACACTATGAAATTAATGCAATGGTGTACTACTATAGTCACAATGAAAGTATTTTTATGCATAAAATTCACTAAGTTCTAAACCCCTTGTGCTAGGGAGGCCCCAACACCTTATATTTTTTACCAGCATGATCAGAATAGTCGTTCGGAATCAGTACTGTGTCAACATGCATCCTATGCACTCCATTTTAACCGGAGAGTTAAAGGTTCCAAGCTTCTTTCACATACGGAGATTTGTGTGGCCAGGCTGTATCATCAACCGTTGCACATTATGTTTGGCTTGTAGCCAGTTGCAGTTTCGCTCATTCAATTGTTGCGTAATTTAATTGGCTTGTCCGTGTGGATAAAATTAGAACTGTTTCTTAATTAGAAATGTTACCCTTATGTTTCAAACTGCGACTTCATTTGTGTAACAAATGTGTATGATGTAGCGCTAAAATACCTCTATTACTTGTGTATGTTACGCATTCTTTGTGGTTTCCAGTTCGTTTGAAATGTTATCCTTTCTGTCTCCAAATATTTTCGCAATAAAGTTCATAAATTTTTGGCGAACATCAAGAATTTGAGTACACGTCAAAGCATTTTTTCTTAAAGTTTAGTGATAAAAGTCAGTACACTTAACACATGTATGCTAGCCTGCCCAGACTAATTGCTGACAACTGTCAAACATGAGACAGTACTAGACTGGTCAGTCCATGACGTGGGGTCGTGGGATAAAGGATTTTTGTGCTAGATTAGCATCGGTTGGTGCATCACAACTCCCTGGTTGGGGTCCGCGAGATAGCTGGAATCGATGACTCAAAACGTTATCGGATATAGCCAAGAATCAATGGCGAACGTGTTGCAATTTCCTTCTTACTTTTCTTCCCGATGATGGTTAACGAATACTGTTTGAACTTGTTAAGCATGACTGTTTTCCTTCCAGATGAAGTTCATTATCCGTTCTCAACTTATATTTTTACTTTTAATCTATGTTGTTTTATCATTATTGTGTGGCGTATCTTTCTTGTTGCTATATTGTACCAAGTTTTTTCTGCGTTTAAATAAAACAAAAAACTAGACCTTAAATTATGTGAATGCTTCCATACTATAACGACTCATACTACCATTTCAGGTACATCGTACAACTGGGAAAAGAGACAAGAAACAGAATAACTAAATATTTATAGTACTTCTAAATATATCTCACTCCTTAATGGTGTTAGTGCGGAAGATGTCACTGGTGATAAAACGTCCATGATCAAATACCAAAGTTCAGAAAATACGAAGTAATTTTCGTTGTCATCTTGAACTGCAAATCGTCCCTGTTATCTCACAAATAATTTGACTTACTGAATGACTTTAAAACGCAACTTATCGTCCACATGAGCTGACATTAGTTAGAGAACCATTGGAAAACCTGGGAGTACTGGACAGCTGTTTCCTACGTCCTAGTTTGTGTCTCATCACCAGTACGCACCCACCGGGATTCGAACCCAGGACCTTCTGGTCATAAGGCGAGCTCGTATACCATTAAGCCACTGGGACCCGATCCAATGGCCCATGAATTCTAACTTCTGGATGTCGTGAATTAGCAGAAGTTAGAATTCATGGACCAATCAAATCCCTACAAACCAACACTTGATTATCGTCCACAGTTGGATAAGGACTGGCTGTGCTACTTGTTGTTGGTGGCTAGCAATAGGATCCATGACTAAATGTGATATTTGGTTCTTCTGCAAGTGTGTCAGAAGTTCCATGATTTTCTTTGTATACATTAACATAAGGATTTCATCTCTCAAAGAAGGCTAATAATTTTTATACGGAAAAGTAAGGCAGTCTCAGTCACCCACTAATTCTGAACAAACAAAGAAATTTTTATAACTCAATAGTCAAGTATGTAACTTAAATTCATGAGTGTGAATTTCGACCCTTACTGAAGTGTATTCACCCGAAACAGCACAAACAATACAAAATTCTTTTACGTTTCAGCCATACCCACCACAAGTTACCTCAAGTGCTACTACCAAAAAGACTAAATATGATTTTCCTTTATTTTCCAGGTCAGCAAGTACTTAGCAAACGGTGGTCGTGTTTTGTTGTTCTTAAATACGTTTGGAGTCTGTAGTCAATCTTCACAAAGTTTGGCTCATTACGCAAAATCTACGAATGATTGTGTGCTTAGTTTGCCTAAAGGCAATGATTTATCTTGGACATGGATGTATAAAAACTCGGTTCTAGTAGGTGGATACCATTTAAAAGAGGAGATCAGTAATTTGAACGAAGTTAATGAATGTCAACCTACAGTTGCCGTTCTCACAGTAAGCTGATTGATTTTTTCGGTTATCTTTTAAGTTTATCAGTTGGTGGGTTCCTCAAAATTTTTAACTGAATTAACACATCGTGTTTTTATAAGGCTTATTCTTAAAAGTTCATGTGAAATACACTTTAGTTTGATTTGGTTTTTCATGGATATCGGTAGCCCAAATTTTGCAGGCCGACTATAGATATCAGGTGTGCGTCGGCAGGGGATCGAACCTCGGACTATGTGCATGGTCAGCGAGAGTCCTAACCACTGTGCCACCGACACACATGGTTACAGGATTCCATCATGAGCTGACACCAGTTAGAGAACCAACTTCTGCCATATCACGACATAGCGTGACCACTAGTCAATGTCTTCGGCGAATATGTGTCCTCACGCTCAACTTACTGTACTTGTCACGACTTCCCACTAGAACCCCAGATAACTACCTACCTGAATAGGGTCAGTCATTAGTGAGCGTCTCACTGATATTCTGTTATTGGTTTGTAGGGAATTCATGAGTCCATTGGATCGGGTCCCAGTGGCCTAATGGTCTACGAGCTCTCCTTGAAACCAGAAGGTCCTGGGTTCGAACCGTAGCGATGGGTGCGTACTGCTGGAGAGTCCCCAACTAGGACGTAGGAAACAGCTGTCCAGTACTACCAGGTTTTCCAATGGTTCTCTAACCGATGTCATCTCATGATGAAATCCTGTAACCAATCAATTAAATCCCTAAAAGCCAATACTTGAACTTATTTTTGTAAGTTTGTTGGTACTCCGTCTGCAGCAATTTGTTAACAATAACAAAAGTAGTCGTACTAAACCGTGAAGAAAACTTAGTTTTCGTGTCTGACAATACTTCATTGAGTGACTCTACTAACCAATCTTCTGCGCGCTCTGTACAGTTATTGGAAATTCTACAGACTTTGATTTCGATAGTAAACTGCATTATTAGAAATTTAAGTGACAAACTGCTTAAGTGGTTTATATATATATATTTTTTCCTTCACGTTCCCAGTGGAACATAGGGCCTCAAGCTAGAATCTTGAAGTTTCTGTAGCAGTGTTTATTTTTACACGATAAGGTTGCTAGCCTCATGCCCAACCTTTCCTCTTTACCAGCATTATTTGTGGCTTAGCGAGGTAAAGGAGTGAGTCGGCCGGGGATCGAAGCCCGGACCATGTGCATGGTCAGCAAGCGTCCTAACCCTTGTGCCACCGACGCACGGTTTTTATATTTAATGTTTTAAAATATTCGGTTTCGATTTTCAAGATACAACCAAGTATTTTATAATTGAAATAAGAATCGGCTTCTTAAAATTGTAACCATCTGAGCTATGTATTTTGTTAACTTCCTTTCAAATCTTCCAGTTTCAGAAAGTATGTTTTCTCTTTTCAGACTGATTGTTTAAGAAGCAGTTCAAATAATTTGAAAAGCGCTTTAAATCTTCTTGGGATTCAGTGTGTGTCCATTGTGAATGGGCGAAAAGATAAGGGCGAAAGATTGTTGCCTACAGCTCATGTACCCAGTGAGAATATTTTGTACTCTTTTTCAACAGATTCATCGAAACTGGTGAGTTTATATTATCATATTTTAATGATTATTTAGGCATCATATAAACTTTCTTTGGATTTTGATAATGCTTTAAGAAAAATTGCCGCTCGTGATCACATCAACAGTCGAAATTGTTTCTATGCTTCTCCACTCATCACATGTATGTAACCATTAGTTGAGTTCCTGTACTACATATATTTTCACGTGTGGCGAACATTAGTTTCATAAAGTTCCAACCACGGAAGGATTCTAACAAAAAGACTTTAAGTCACTCATTCAAGACTATGTGAACTGTTTAATCAATAGGTCCCTAGTCGTAACTAATAATCAAGTAACTAAATAGGATGAGACAACTCGGTTGAATAACTGGTTCATCTTACGTCAGTAATATTCGATTGTAATAGTGCAATTAAAATTCAAGTAAAAATAAAATCTGACTGGCTGATAGAAAGTAAAATATCACTAGGTGTAGTAACCCTCGCAATCAAATATCTAAGCCTTCTTTATCTTGTTTTGGGTGTATCTCTCTATAGCTCTGCTTTTAGCGTAGTTTAGGATAAGCACAACTTCATGTTAGTCACCTACATCAGTCACCATCGTATAGTGAGCTAAATCCAATCACCACTCAGGATGTTAGTTATCTTTACTTGGCGATGCAGATAGCATAACTTGTTAGATACTAAAGGCGCGTGCTTCACTCTAAAATTTAAGCCCAAAATGCTCGGACGATGCTATACCCTTACTTTTCCCTTCATGAAGTCCTTGAACAGCAGGTCAGAAGGAAACAAAGATGCGTCCATCGGTATGCCTTTGAGTTCAGTGTAAAGTAATCACAGTTTACATATCTTACAGTCATCACTCATCTCTTTAAAGGTGGTTAGACAACTTTTATATTCCTTAGGAGGGGTTTTAGCTACATAACAAACTCGTTTGATGCCGTATTCATTGTCACACACTGCCACATATTTCAAGAAGTCCGGGAGATACGAATACAGACAAACAGTAGATTTATGTCTGTGTAATTGAATTGAAATTAAAAATAGTAAATCGTATTACTTAAAGTTTTCAGTCATAGTCATCGTATGGAAAGTCACTAGTTTTTTTTTGTAGGTGAAATTTCTAATATAATTCCAAATAATTTTATCTTAAACAATCTCTTGTGTGGTTTGTGCTGTTGCGCTCTTAAATTTACACCCATTTTTTGTGCTCATTATAAGTTGGACTAAAATGGTAAACTGGTAGTTTTCTTTTTCCTTAAATGTTGTTCTGATTTGTTAGCTTCAGGGTTGAGAAAATCAGAATCAACATTCTCAGCTTTTTATATTAATGTTTATTGCGTACCATACTGTAGTGGCAGAGAAGACAGGAGAATTCAGTAACAGGAATGACTTATTAACAACTAGATGCACACGAATGGGTAAAATACGGTATTGCGTTGCTTTGTCTTCCGTATTGTGCTTATTCGTCTGCGTTTCATGTTTTCCGTGTTGTTCCAGCAGCACCGTTCATCATTTTCCGCCTATTGAGGAAATCTCTACAATATTTTAATAATTGTAACTGTTTTGAGGAATTTAATTCCACTAGTGCACATAACTCCAAACGGATATCTCCATACATTTCAGTCTCAAAATCGTTCTCCATTGTGGATAAAATTTATTTTGATAAATTATCACGGTGTTATACAGTAACATTTACTGATGACGTTCCTTTTTTTTTATTCCTTTACGTTCCCAGTAGAACAAGGGGGTTCAAGCTAGAGGCTTGAAATTTCGGTGGCAGTGGTGTTTATTTTTACGGAATGGGGCTACTAGCCTCACACCCAACCTTCCCTCTTTACCAATCTTATTACTGGCTTAGTGAGGTAAATGGGTGCGTCGGCTGTGGATCGAACCCCGAACCGCCCGCGTGGTTGGCGAGCATTCTGTGCTTAGCTACCGACGCCCAGATGACGTTTCGAGCCCAGTGTATTGCTGATAAGCATATTAAGTTACACAACTTGCCAACTTAGTTTATGTGATTCCACTATTTCTCATCCCTTGATTTGATTATTTATTGTCATTATCATATTATTGTTTCCTTTAGTTCCTAGGGGAACATAGGGCTACAGCCGCACGTCTCCATCGCGTTCGGTTCCCCGCCAACGTTTTCACCCGGCTCCAGGTCTGCCCACATGCTTTCTTCTCCTCTTCGCATGGCCTCCTCCATGTCATCCTCAGGCGACCAACTCGTCGCTTAATTTGTTTGGTAGTAATATTTTCCATATTTCTGGTATGACTGATGAGTCATTGCTATTGTATTTGTTGGGTGTCGATTCTATGAACAAAGATTCAATAATCAATCTCTCTCTCCACCTACCTATATTACTTTTTAGAATTTTAACCCTCTCCCATCCTATTGTGTGGTTGTGTGTTGATGCATGTAGTGCAATCGCTGAGCTTTTTTCTAAATTACTTATCCTCTCATGGGCAATCATCCTAACCGTAGTTAAATTCTTATGTTCTGATAAACTGATTATTCCCGGTCTACTAGTTTGACCTATGTAGTTGACGTCATAATCGTTGCAAGGTATTTTGTAAATTGTTTGATTTTGTCTAATTAGATCAACAGGGTCCTTTAACCTACATAGCTTGTCTTATCTGAGTGAATTTTTAAATTCGAATGCCACATTAATTCCTGCTTTATTAAGAATTCTGCGTAGGGGGTGTCTCATATGTCCCCTTATTTTATGGTAGCACTAGATGTCTTATATTCTCTCTTTTTCACGTTGTTATTAGTTTCACCACTATTTTTTTTATCTTACTTTTGACTTTTTCTGGTCTTCCTAATTAATTTTATAGGATAGTTAGCTATTTGACACCAACGCTTCTTCTATCTGTTTTATTTCATCATTCAGCTCTTTTTTGTACTAATTAGTGCTACTGCTCGGTTTGTCAAGCCTGCCTTAACAGGTTAACTGTTAACGGATGAGATGAATTAAAGTCTAAATATCTATTAGAATGCGTTGGGTTTTTTTTTATAAACGCTAGTGTGCACTTTACCTTCTGTTCGTTTTATTTTGACAATCTAACACAGTTAATTGTCCTTGTCCATTTTCCGATTCAAATGTGAATTTTATTCCCTATACTAGTGAGTTTGTATGTGTAAAGAAGCTAGAGATATGCTATGTTTTTAACACTGAAAGTGTCATCCACACATCTAATTTTACAGTATAACACTGAGAATTTATCAAAATGAATTTTATCTATAATGGAATCATACCCTACTACAGTGCACAAGTTCCGTTCTTATTAGCAGATGCTTTTACTTTTTGTGACCTCACTTATCCATTAAACCCTCATATTTTATAATTTTTTTCTATTCTTTCTTCTGCACATTTTTTCCCATTATAGCTATTTTGAATCTGTCACTTTATCTTTGTTTGCTATATGCGGTGTGACAGCATGAACTGCTGCACTTCTGTGCATGTGTGGAGTTGAAGACAGCGTTTAAAGTATTCACTGTTATGGGTAATAGTGTGATACACACGAGAATACTTTTTTGTCTGCTTATCTAACCAATAAAGTCTAAAAATTTTATTTTTATCTATAAAATATAATTTAAGTTGATTTATTCAAAGGTGGGTGCGTCGGTGGTATAGCGGTTAGGACGCTCGCCGACCATGCATATGGTCTGGGGTTCGACCCCCGGCCGGCGCACTCCGTTACCTCACTGAGCCAGAAATAATGCTGGTAAAGAGGAAAGGTTGGGCATGAGGCTAGCAACCCCATCCTGTAAAAATTAAACACTGCTACAGAAACTTCAAGCCACTAGCTTGGAGCCCTATGTTCCACTGGGAACGTGAAGGAAAAATTAAATTATTCAAAGGTGGTGTCTCTTTCTACTATAGTCAGATTTATACAAAATATTTAATAACTGCGTTCTTTCGGCCCTTTATCAAGATGAATTTCAAAGATTTTTGAGTGCTACCATCATATTTGTTTATCTTCGAATTTTTAGAAGATTGTTGAATTTCTAACCGATGAATGTGTAAAAAGAAATTATAAGGAAGAAATTGTTCACTGTTCCAATGTGTCTCATCTTCCAGCAGGATTTAATTGGACAGATTACTTTTCAAATCTTCATACTGAGCATTTGGGCAGATTAGTTATTTGGGCTTATTCTATACCATCTAGTTGGGAATTTTGTCAACGGTAAGTTTTATTATTTTTGTTTGATGCTAGACTAGTAAGGATGACTGGTTAGAAATTGTTTTATTCATGTTTAAAAGAGTGATTTATTCTAACAGTGTTCCAAAACGTATTGATATGATACTGTTTATTTTACTAACTTTCGATTATGCTTATTGAAAAGAGGTTCTCTGTGATACAACACTGCATATACGAGACTTTTTCTCGCCACGTGACTTGAAGATTCAGGACCTTATCTATAGATTTGCCTCTGTCGCCTAGCTCTTTGTGTTTAACCGGATTTTATTATTTTAGTAGTGAATTCAATCTCTAAGCACTTCATATTCGTCTTTGCAATAGTAATATTAGTGGCCCATGTGGTCTAGTGGATAACGCTTTAGTGCGTCGGTGGCATAGCGGTTAGAACGCTCGCCGACCGACCGACTCACTCCTTTACCTCGCTAAGCCAGAAATAAAGCTGGTAAAAGAGGAAAAGGTTGGGCATGAGGCTAGCAACCTTATCGTGTAAAAATAAACACTGCTACAGAAACTTCAAGCTTCTAGCTTGAAGTGACCGAATAAAAAGGGAATATAAATATCCAATTCTTTTTAAACCGATAAGCCAGTTGTGCACTAGGATAGCAGTTGTTTTTGCATTGTGTTCGCAATGTTTTGATGTTTCTTTCTCTAGAATAATATCAAAGTTAAGTGCATTACTAACAAAAATGTTAACAAATGTTTTTTAATATAATAGATTCTTTGAAAAAATTCCTCCGAATTCTGGACTTTTGGTATGCTCTGATATTCAAACGAACGGAAAAGGTGAACCACATGCAGTTGTTTAAAAGTTTAAAATTAATGGTTTGTAGAACTTTTGAGTAGACAATGCTAATTATTTTGAGATTTGTAATCTGTATTAAATAAAAGCTACAAGGCTGTTTTCTTAATCACTAGTGAGTGCATTATTAAATTACAATATGAATCTTTCCGTATATTGTTGTCCACTATTAGCTTACTATGTCTTAAGAGGTTGAAAAAAAGAACATTTGTAATGTTATGTGTAATAAGTGCATAAGTTACAAGTTTTGCTTTGTATTTATAAATATGAATATGATTCATACCACACATGTGTTGTATGTAGACAAATTTAACACAAAATGAACCGAATTGTCGAAAGCCACCAGGGATGATGACCGCAAACAACTGCTACTACAGATTACAGGATTTCATCATAAGCTGACATCGATTAGAGTACCGGACAGCTGTTTGTTTCGTCCTAGTTTAGGACACTTCATCAATAAACTCCCACAAGGATTCGGACCCAGTACCTTCTGGACTGCTATGACAGTTGGATGCTTCATTCACTCTAATGGATGAAATTGAATGTAAACCGTCAAAAGGCATTTTAAACTGATCAGAATGAAAATGTTACTTGTGGTTAGAAGTAAAGAAACAGTGAGAATTCATAAGTGATGAAGTTCATTGTGATAAATATACCCTTCTTACTAATTTCACATGAAACCAAAGTGTCGGTGCGAAACTTTTGTTTAATGTGACTTGTTTTTGTAATCATCAAAGACTAAAGAAACAATCCTATATTCTAGAAAAATTCGGCTAGATTGTTGTGAAAACCTGCAGGCCAGCTTTGTTTTTTTGTATACAGTCTGGTATGTGGATAAAGCTGCGATCAGAGTATTCGGCAAGCTAAGGTTAGTTAGAACAGGCATAACTATGATACATCATTCCAACTGAATAATACATGAAGATTCATTTTTATGAAAACTCGAAATAATGAACAGTGAAGTGAGTTTGTATAGGAAAGCTTTTCAACAATAAATCGGGATTGTAACTGAACTGTAGAAATAACTATACACTGTAGAATACTAAAAATTAAAACAAGCGGCTACATAATTATGTCTGTCTGTCGGATTGTGAGGGCGATTGTTACTTCCTGGCTGCCCACACCGTGGAAGTTGGTTGCGTGACCGCAGAGCCCAGGGGACAACTGCTTGAGGCCGGTCACACGCGGCCTGCTTTTGTTTGTTCTTTATTTTTTTGTGTGTCTCAGTAGCATACTTATCACTCCTGACCTGTGACACGGCAGCAGGAAGCGCGGTCGTTGTTAATCCGGGCCACGGCCGATCCGGCATGAAATTTTGTGGTTTTGTATGTATCATAATGTTGGATTGGGTAGCTGCTTTTTGTCTAACCGCTATCCAAACAACCTGGTAGGACCTCAAGAGACATAAGTCTCAGCCAGTATAGCTTGATTAGGTCATTGCGGTGTTCAAACCCGACCACCACGTCAAGGTAGCAGCTTTCGGTTGGGTCATAATTATGTAAAATCAATTAAGTAACTGAAGTGAAGTAGGCAAACTTATAAATCAATTGAAATAACAGTAGTTTGTAATTAATTTTTGCCGCCCAAATATCTACTTTATCACTCATATGATATACTGATATTGGCTCTATGACACTTGAAATGTATTTCTTCACTTAGTTTGATGTTTTCCTAAATGTTGAAATAGAATTATTCATTGCAGAAAAATCATGGGATAAATGAATAAAGGAACAAGCTGTCATTCGATATCTGACTGGCACTTAACCAATTAATACCATAGAGACAACTATTGCTACAACATTATTGCGTGGATAGTAATGTTCTATCAAGTTTCTAAGCTTAACCACACTGTATTAATCAACTCTGTTCATCTTAACGCGGAAGCAGAATCTGACTGCCTTGATTGAGACTTAATTAGTGCTTGTTTTTCTGCCGGACAAATCTATTATTAGAATGCTTATCATAACTCACCTAGTTGATTCATAAATGGTGAGAAACGAAGTGTTCGGTATTGGTAGTGGCAACCCATTTTGCCTTCATTTCTTTTTTTTTCAATACGGGAATCACGTAATAAGCCTGTTACACTGACGACATAGTTGTATAAACTAAAATAGTTGGAATGATTTTAATTTCTTAATACTCTCTAAGTCATCATTCTACCATGAATAAAACATTTGGAGTTCATAAATTTGCTTGCCGTGTTTACCGATGGATTTATTGATAAATCGGTTTCTGAATTCGTGATATCTGTACTTCTGGTAGTCAGTACTTCTAATCATACTTGTACTTAGTTAATCTTACTCGACCCACTATTTCAAATGCTGGTGATTATGTTCATAAGTGAGTTATATTTTCAGTATTATTAGGGAAATATTTGTTTTCACTGAACTGTCGATGTAAAAGTGCTGTTAAATTAAGTATTATGGAGTTTAATTCATCATTTACAAAATAACGTAGTTCGAGTGGAAAATTCACCACAGCTGCTTTCGGAAGCCTTAATTATACAGTCTACAATATATGGTCTAACAGGCAGTACTGTTTTGTTTGACATGAGTGGTTCACAATTATGGGTACGAATCAGTAATATATGCTATGTCTCTTCAACACTAGGTCTATTATATTAACTTCATTTGCGTAATTCAAAAGTACTTTTCTCTTTGCTTTTACTAGGCAGAGGTGAGAATAAATGGATTAGTCCTGTTGGACAGGCTGCATTTACATTCCATTTAACACTTTCCAATTTCATTGATCGAATGTTTATGAATTATGTAACCTGTATGCAGCATATTATTGCACTGAGTATAGTTTTGGCATGTCGACATCTAATTGCTGAACATCTAGAGAAAATTTCATGCGAAACAAAGTTTTCTGATATTAGCGAGGAATTTCTTGTTGTAAGTTGACCTATTTAAGTGAATTTAAGTTTGCCTAATGACATAAGTACCTACACAGTTTATGCAGTTCATAATCTAATATTTTTCTTCTCATATGTTGGATGATACAGTAGACCTAACGGTTTTGATTTGCATTGATAAGTGAACTTAATATTTGGACCTGTGGAGGTATAGTTTATTTCCATGCAGAATTTGCCAAAAATATTTCTCGTACTTTTCTTAAACTAAAACGTAACCGCTACTGGTTGCTTACCGGTTTACAATGCTTCTAGTTCGTAATGTGATCTACGTTGAAATTCCTATTAAATATCATGGATATAAACTATGGATGTACTTCTTAATAATGAGAAAGAATTTTAGTAAACACATCAACTCCCTCGTTCATCCACACCGCCAAAATCATCGTGCTTATGGATAAAGTTTTATAAAAAAAAATTGAGCAAAGAATATCCTTTTCGATAATTTCCTCTTCTGGATCTACAATTATATATATATATATATATATATATATATATATATATGTTTATGAACATAGAATATTCTAGAATAGTCGTTATTAACAATATTGGTGTTTTTTATATACCATCAGTTTGTTAATTAAGATCAATGGAATTACTGTTCAAGAAAGTTGCATAAATTATAAGAACCATAAAAATAATAATAGCAAATAGCGTATCAAATAAAATTAAGGAAATTTCTACAGCAAAGTGAGGATCAATAAAACCGTGATGGCCAAGGTAAGGACAGTGTCTGAACCAGCTTCTTTTGAATATATAAGTTAGGTTTCTTAATGTGGATCTCGACGGCCTCGACAATATGTAGTAGACGAACTGTTAAGGTGAAGTTAAGATCAGTTGGTATGCGGTAGATAACTTTGAAAGCCTTAGTAACATCAATCTTGTGTTCTGTATCCACAAGATGAGATACTATGCACTGTGAATGGATTTTGTTCGTCCTTTACTTAACCACGCAGGATGATGTTCGGAAATTCGACGAGAAACACACCTAATTGTACCGCCTATGTAACTGACTCCACAGGACCAGTCAAATTGGTAGATACACATAGAAGAGGTGATATTAGGCAGTTGGTATTTTACTGCTGAACGCAAGATAAGAGTGGTTTTGAAAAAAAACAGCATAATTCAGCAGCACTGTTTTTCTATAATTATCTGAATAAATATTTCCGTTATATTTGAGATGAAGTTTTGTTTGAAAACTGTAGATTCCCTGTTCAAGTGATTAGGGTATGAATTCTCAGAATAGTCAGAGCATGATAAGAAATGAAATCACTGTTATTTTGAACTATACCTTGGGCGTGTCTTCTCCAAATCAGTTTACAGTGTCACATATGCATGCTTTTCTCTATTTTGCTAAAGACTCAAAAAGTATATTCCCAATCCTCATCAATTTTATTATTGCTTGTTTTTGTACTCTCTCGCGAAAGTCGTCTGTAAATCAGATGAAAATTCACTTTCCTTTCTGAATAAAATTAAATTTTCTCGATGTTAAGTGAATGTTCTGTAGGTCTACTTATTTTCTTGATGATAATTATATTTATAGCGGTGGTGATTACTTTTTGCTAAAGGGGTTAACTTATTAACTCTATTCACCTTAATGCTCTTTTTGTTTGTTTTCACAGAATCTTCAATACAATGGGCCTAAAATCCTTGTCAAATGGCCAAATGATATATATGTTGTAGAAGATTATGATGATAATGGCGAAGATACGAATCTAAAGCCTTTTCAGTTTAATATCATTGGCAAATTGGCGGGTGTATTAGTTCGTTGTCATTTAGTCGATTCGAATCATGCAGAATTTTTAATTGGTAGGATATTACTATGCATTTGTCGTGTTTTTTATTGATAATAATCATCAATAATATATGAACAGTTTGCCATTCCACTAGGAAGTGACACATGTCAAAGTCACCTTAATTTGATATCAATTTTATTGATTCCTCGTATTGTTTCATAATAATGGTTACTTAGGTCAACGGCCTCGTTCAGATTTATGCTTTGCCTCCAGACCTAATATCGGAAAACTGTCTGACTGCCTGGACCTTGGTAAGAGTAACAAATTGTGTTGGCAAATTCATACATATTCTGTCATCATAGTTGAGCTACAGGTAAGTTGCTTACATGATCCAACAGATAGGTGTTAACACAATGACTCAACGAGTTAGACTGTTTGGAACTAATATTCCTGCAGGTTGTACCATGCAAGAAAGGCTGTTTAGATAGTGGTCACATTGAAAGCAGTAAACGTCTTAGTAAAGGTTGTTTACACCATATTGGTTGTCTTTGGGCAAAGTCGTACTACTGAAGAATAGAGATGTAACAGCAGGAAGGGGATTTCCCTCAGATGACCAGCATGTCAACTAGGCGCTGCACCTCCAATTTGGAGGTAGTGGGGAGGGTTGGGCAATAAAGATTGATCCCGAAAGGTGTACATACTGACTTTTATTCCGGCGGTAAAGTCTTACTATAGACGCTAATATTTTAATTTCTAAAGTCACATTCACTCATAAAATAGCTTAGTTCTTGATTTTAAAGGATGCTACTCATATAATCGTAACTTTTATTGTTCTATGACTCTTAAACCATGATTTCAGGTTGTGGGATTAATGCATTCAATGAAATGCCTACAATATGCCTAGAACAAATTTTGGCTCACTCTCATCCGTGTAATGCAAAACCAAAATTTACAACCGCTAAGTTGATTTCACTGGTAGTGAGCTACATGGAAAGAATAATGACAAAAATCCATAATTCTGATGAAACCTATAATCTTCAATGGGCACTTCGTTTGTACACTAGATGTTGGATCCATACGTAAGTCATCTATTCAACTCATCTTCTTGAGATTTTGTCTTACTTATCACTGTGATATCTTTTTCGTTATACAAGAAAATTGTGACAATCTGAAATTCGGAAACTTAAAGGAGGAAAGTGACCAGTGTTTTTTTTTATCAGGTTATGGATTATCTAAGTACTGGTTGTGCACGCATCTGCAGTGATCCATCAGTGATCCTCAATTTTCACACTATGCTTTTAATAAATGTATATCGGTGAAATTGTTCACTAATGTGGATGATGAAGTGTGTCACAAAAATGGTTGCTTTCATAGATTTTAATGATTCTGAACAAGAATACTTAAAGCGGCAATTTTTTTTCTTTCAATAAATTCTTCTCTATACTCTAAAAATATAAATCCATTACTTTTAGCATGCATCAGCCAGTTACGGCAAATTAGAATTATATCAGAAAGTTTCTAGTGGTACAACTACATGACTGAATAATAGTCAGTAAGTTTTGATTATCATTTAAATTCATGTAAAATGTACAGTCAATAAGAATGTGAATGAATAAAATGGAACTATATAAATCAGTGAGTTGTTTCTATTTTCAACAAAAAATTCACGTTTCAAGCATGAATGTAGTCAGTGGTGTGAGAGACAAAATGAATGTCAATAAATAGGATACGCTAGACATAGACAGAGGCTCAAGGGAGACAAATAAAAGTAATAATGATAAACTAGCCACGATGTGGTCTAGACACACTACTGGTGAACGCTTATATCAGGCAATGAAGGATTGTGTAAATGCAATAACAAGTGTGAGGAGGATTACATAGACCTAAAGTGGCAATATATATATATAACGACAAAGATTTATTTATTTTTGATTACAGCTTGATTCCACACCGTATTTTTGGTACAAGTATGGAATTTTCAGCTTGGATATCGGTAGCCCAAATTCCGCAGGCCGCCCATTGAAATCAGGTGTGCGTCGGCGTGGGCTCGAACCCCGAACCATGTGCATGATCGGCGATCATCATGTTGTAAAAGATCTGAAATAAACATTTGCCAGTGAAACAAAGGGTAAACAGAGGAAAAAAGGGGTTAGAAATGTTAATTATCAATGTTTATGGAGGATTTGTTGATCTTATTGTAGACTAAGGACATCAAAGGAGCTAAACACACTCCGTCTAGTTACAGAGACTAGGTCTCCTGGTATTGATTTCTACTGCTTCAGCTACTGATAGATAGAAGATGTAGTCGAGGGACTGCGGAAGGACACGGTAGATCAGCGAGAACATCTGCCCCCGTTTTATTGAATTCTCAGTGTCTACCAAGTTGGCTATGACAACAACTATTTACGTATTTGGTTGTCCCTTCACTCAACCATAATTGAACGTGTTCACATGCGTGCATGGAGAAACCCTCTAAGTGCTGCCTACGTAAACAGCTTCACAGGATAAGTTGGAAAGGTCATCATTTCTTTAACTCGCTGTGTGTGAGTACTGGTTTAGTTGGAAAACTGAGTAGCAGTTTAGTTGTGCACGATATCATTCGATGGTCTTCTCAGCATATGTCCAAACTATCTCCATTTTCTTCCACATATTTCTTGAGCAATAGGTTCTTTGTTTGTTCCCATAGTTTCTTGTTGTTTATTCTTTTTGACCGGCCGGCCATTTGATCTTATATATATATATATATATATATATATATATATAGAGAGAGAGAGAGAGAGAGAGAGCGAAGACTACTATCGGAAATGTTTTTCGTGACACACTGACCAAGTGTCAGACCCATATAGGAAGAACTTACTTAACACTGATGAAATAAATAGCTGAGTGAATATTATTGACAGTATTCAAAAACTCTTCTTTGTTAAGGTTATAATCACAAGCCATGAACGTATCATCTACTTATCGACAATAATAGTCAGGCTCATAAATCGTATTTCTGAGTGGATCATTTTCAAGTTTTGCCAAGAAAATATCCGCCAGTACAGGACCCAGAATCAAGTCCATCGCAACCCCATCAACTTGTCTATAACATTCGTTGTCAAAGATAAACTGAATTCTGTTGGTGTTTTCATGTTTAACAAATACTTATTTTACATTAAAATTAAAATTTACTGTAGAATATAAATGAAACAAATGCACTTATTGAAATGTTATGTATTTATATTTGAATTTATTATTATTATTATTATCTAGAAATCAGAAAGTGGGACTTCAGGTCAATTCAACTGTAAGTACAAATAATGCCGGAGATCTGTCTGAAGATAATTATCGTATTGTTGGCTTAGATGCTTATGGTTATCTTCTCATTGAAGATACACGTACAGGTGTTGAGCACAGTCTACATCCAGATGGTAATTCAATGGATATGATGCGTGGGCTGATAATAGCAAAATGAGTTGTTATTTTTTTGCAACACACTTGTCCAACTATCTTCCCCCCCCCCGTTAAGTTCCAGTGCAATAATTACTTTATAGTAGGATCTATTTTCTTTTTGTGTAGTCTTTAATGTATTCTATATGTGTGCTTTTTTGTACGTAAATGAATGATCGTCGCTACTATTTTGTGCACACATTTATTAATATTTTTGATGTCTGAACTTGTTGTTGTTGTTATTGTTGTTTAGTTATATTATCTTGGCTCACTACTGAATATAAATGTATACTGATGAATTTATAGACTGGATTTTTTTCTTTTAGGGGAATATAATCGGTTAAAAAGTATAAATAATATTGATTCACAAGCGACTTGGTCAAAGATATCATTGTTTGCTTGTTGTTATAATAAACTTGCACTATTTTTATTTGACTACTAAACAATATCCACTTCGGATGTTTTTTTCTCTGTTAGTAAGGATTAGGCCAATCGAAAAATGAAATTTCGGTATCAGTTGAAAGGAATGTTCGGTGTCTGACTTGAAGGAAACATTACGATCATACTGTAGTTGTCAATATAACTATATGGTGTAATGTATTAGTTAATACCTTCGGAATCATGTGGTTTTCACAATAATTTAAGCCTAATGCTTAGTTATGGATATCGATTAGCATAGACTATACTTATTATGCAAGACTTTCTATGAAATAGAATAATCTGTAATTCCTTGAAGTCCCAGGTAATAGTAGCCAAGGTTAAACAAATTAGTCGGCAGATTATTAGTAGTGTAACCTATCCAGCTCCAAGTGTGTAAATTGTTACCTGACGATTAAGTATCCTGTGTTTACTAACTAAGCCGAGGAAAATGGCACTGCTCTGAGCATCATAACTCCGTACTAAACATTTGGAAAAGTTACGTGGTAAAAAATCTCTGGCTGCATCACATCGAAACGATGCTAAAAAGTCATTCCCGACAACTACAAACCTTCACAGATTTCTCACCTTTATTAATGATAACACATCACAGCTATATATCAAAGGAGAGTCAGTAAAATACTTGTAGCTTCAAGAATGATGAAGAGTGAGAAAATCCAGACAACTTTCGGTCATTTCGTTTGACTCAAACGAAACTATTTACGTTCCCCTATTGTCCTGTTTTAACCTGGCCTGTTATACTAGCCTGTTGTTTAAAGCATGGGGAAAGAGGAAGGGTTGGGCGTGCGGCTAGCGACCCTTCCCCGGAAAATCAATAAAACTGCTACAGAAACATCAACGCAAAAGAAAAATATTAAAAGTATAAAAAACAAACTTATCCTTCGCTGGAATCGGAGAAGCGAAATGACACAGCGGGCTGGTGAAAGCCAGCCTTCGATAAACCATTCAGCCGATGTGTCTCCTCTTGATGAAAGCAAGAATAAAGACGTGGAATGTCCGTTAAATGTACGAGACTGGGAAGCCTGCCCAGGTGACCAAAAACATGCGAAGGTATGGCATACAAGTGCTGGGAATCCGCGACAGCAGTTGGGATGGATGTGGATTGTCAACTGGAGAGTCAGTAATCTACTCCGCTCTGGTCAACCAAACGACAACCATGAGCACACTGAGGTGATAAGTGGCTATCATGATGTGATCAGTGGCAGCCAAGGCCCTAATGCAGTGGGAACCAATTTCATCCTGCAGGATAATGACAACAATATTCAACTCAACAGGAAGGAAAGAAGGTCGCAATCAAGTCGTGGATACAGGTGAAGAGGACCGCAGAAAATAGAACAAAATGGATGTATGTTGATGAAGCTGTATATTCCAATTGGAATCCAAGTCTGTCTGGTAGCTAGCCCCCTTATCTACCTTACAATCTCTTGCTTATTTGTTTTCAAATTTATTTTGCCAATACTAATATTGTTCATATAAGAAGGAGATAGCTCGGAGTATACAGTAAACATCACCCATCTCGGTCAATGAATATCCATAACATTGAATGAATGGACTTCCGTATTCAATCGCAATACTTTGTTTCACTCTACCACATGTAATCTATGCTACAGAGATATGTTTAATAAAAAGTTATCTTTTTATGTTTTTTGCTTTTAACTTTCTTGCCTCGACCAGCTAACTGCTGTTTAGTTTTCACTGACTTGTTAATGTAAAACTGCACACAGTATATCAGTTTAGTTTGTTACAGCTCGGGAAGCTATAAAAAAGAAACGTAACGAAAATATAATGGTCTAAAGTGCTCATGTTTCTTGATAAGCAGAACAGTATTTCGGCTACACTGAAAACGATAATAATTCACAAATACGAGGTATACAGGTCTTCTTTAAGTGTGCTGATATTGAGTAACCAACCTTCTAATTAACTGAATCAGTCGACACATTTGATCAGGCCTTTTTTGTCTGTAATCGTGGAGTTGGAAAAATATTTATCCACCATCCTGAAACTTTGAATGATCACCTAACTAAACTGTTTGGTAACTGCAACTTTGGTGCTTGGAATTGCATATCTCAACAACCTTACGAGCTATACCGGCTTGGACGAATTTTTCTTTAGCTCTTATTATGTCAGAAAGTTCGATTAGTTGGCGGTAAGCGTAAAATAAGTTGTCATCATAGTGTGATCTGCATACATTAGGTTACGAGAGTGAGGGCAAAGTTAAGCTGCCACGTATTGAGGTGTAGCAATTGTAGAGCGTTTTCATTAAATGGCGAGTCATGGGGTTTTTGAAAAGAATGGTTGGTGAATAGTAAGTCCTCAAAATCGCACAATCAAACCTACTCGACTGCTGTTCATAGTAAGTAATAAGACTCTTCGTACTCACGGTATTTCAAAGGTTCTCTCACCTCCAAACATGTTTTGCGCGCTCAGCATCAGCTAGTCATCCTATAAGCTCTCAGGTCATGTGAAACAAGTCCTTTTACCCGTTTGGGCGATCTGAGAATAAATATCGCATGGTGTGGACAGTCTTCTTTTAACTTTTTCTTAATTTAATCTTTGTTGCTTCTCTGTAGTACCAATAGTGTGCGCAGAATAATTCCTACATCTCTTAACTTTACGAATACTGTTGATAGCTTCTACCAGTGAAACATAATTCATACCCTTTTGAATTCACTTTGCTAACTTCACATTGGAGCTTCAAGCGTTCGAGCCGTATATAATTTCCGACGGCCAGACTTATTGACTGTAATTTTGGTTATTATTTGTGATGCATTTCTGAGAAACACATTCAAGACCATAGTGTGGTTAGTCAATAGAACTCCACCTCGGAAACAAATTGGATTTATGAAATTCGCTTCTGGGGTATCAGGTGACCCTTTAGCTAGGTCTTCTGTACTTGCTGCTTTGTAGATAGCACTAGGTTCTGTAGCAGAGAAATCACTGATTGATCTCATCCCAATAGACAACTGATTAGAATAATTGTACTTGACTTATTATCGTACTCCATATTTATGTACTAATTGCCTGCAGTTCGAACAAAGGAGAGTATGTTCTATCAAAAACCTTCAAGTTTGCCATAGAAAGCAAAGCGCTCAAATGTAGTCATCAGTGAGTTGTTTCAAAGCTCAAGCAGTGCCAGCCGAGCTAACGTAAAGGGTATTTTGGGGCCATATATGGAACTCAGAACCGATTATTTATTTTTATTTGAAACCTAAACATAGTACAATATTAATACCAAGATACAACAAGGATATTAGATGGTTGGAGGCAATCGGTAGAAAGCCTTGGACCTATTTTTCGTGCTAGTTGGCACTCGTCAGCAAGGCGTATCTGCAACTTCGAAGGAACTCATGTCCCTAATATCACCAAACCAGTGTACACCGCGATGGCGAGCTACCTAGAGTGGTGGCCACATTACAAACCTAACTGACAGAATAGAGTCTGCACCAAAGAAAGGACTAGACACATCACACTAGTTGTTAGTGTCCAGTCAAAAAGAATACAAAATATTAGATGTATAAGAATAAAATAACTGAGTTTAGCACCAATTACTTCATGTTACTTTTGGAAAAGGAAAATTGCAGCGTGTTCGTTACTGATATTGGTTCCCAGCCACGTCTGGTCACATCTTGAGCCACTTATCCGGATAATCTCTCGGATACCACAGAGGGAGTTGTGTCGCACGAGTAGATGCTAATCCAGCACAACTATCTTTCACTCAACGGTTCCAAAAAGTAGGCTGATCACCCCACCGTTTTTTTCTACCCAGAACTACCAAATGAAAGGCATATAGGCAGCATCCATAGTATATTTCCTAGCGACCGAAGTCGGTGTCTGAAGATATTACCACTCATTAAATGACCTTAGAAGTCGCTTTATTTTGATGTCACCAGATGCAAACGATTTTCCAAGGGCAATGATGGTTGAACAAGCATGGTCTCCTTACTGTGATTTGAGTCTCCAGGTTTCACAGATGTAGGATAGGAGTGCACACACTGAAGCGCCATAAAGCCGAACTGACAACCCTATAAGTAGTCTAGGTTAACATGTGTATCACCGGTTTTCTCTGTATAGTTAACACTTTTATCTATCCTGCCTTCTGCAACACTCGCATAACTACTTAGACATATTTAATAGTTCGCGTGCAACAGCCAGTACAGATGCCAGCTTCTGTATTCTTGTGACAGTATATTGCTGTCAGATGGAGCAAACCATATGCCATATTTACATATTCTAATCACTAACGGAGCGAGATTTTGATAGACCGTATGATGATTGTTTTTTATATGCCAACTTACTCCATCTCTGGCGTAGACGCGATATCCCGCTATTGACCAAAAAGCGTGTATACTGCTTAGCAGTTCGCTGCGTCCTCCTTTATGGTTGTGAGACCTGGCCATTAAAAGTGGAAGACATGAAAAGGCCAGCTAGCTGTCTGTGGTAATAGGTGCCTGCGTTCTATCTCCCGTGTGAAGTGGTATAAAGCATAAGGTGAGCAATATTGAGGTTAGGCATCGGCTGAGTGCTAGGTAAGGAGGGGAAATCAACAGATGACGTTGTGACGCTAAACTGATTGAGATGGTTAAAACATATGTCACTCATGCCTAGCCACCGCCTCCCTCGACGAGCAGTGTTAGTTGACTCAGGATGGATCAGGTTGGAAAACAGCTACTAGTTGTCAAACCAAAACTTGGCATCAGTCAATGAAATTCACAACAGTTTAAGCCACGTAAGGAGATGTAAACCGCTCTCTGGTTGGGGTTCTCACTATGGTAAGAACCCATAACGGCTAAAGACAATTGGAGATATGGCTCAGTATCGTTTCGATGGCGCGGTTGCACCCACTCCTTGTGCTTTATTATATCTAATAAAATTCCATTTTCTTCCATATGACTACGGGTCGCATCCTATTGAACCGAGTATATCTATTACAGCTGTCTCTAGAATGCCATCGATGGGACAGTAACAGAGACGTGGTGAGACTGACAAACCTTGTCTAACAGCACGGTTAGTTGATTAGAGCGATGACAGGTGGTTGTATGCCTTCACCCTACCTCAGTTGTGTTTCTGTAGGGTTTTCAGGACACTGATAAATGCCTCATGAATACCTCTCTC